GTGTGTGTGTGTGTGTGTGTGTGTGTGTGTGTGTGTGTGTATGTTTTCAGTTCAGATTTCACTATAATGCCAATATGTACCATTTTCAGTTAAATCGTCCTACGAAAATTTGATTCGAATTTTGATAAGATTTAATGCAGGCAGGCAGACTTTGCTCTGGAAAAGGGCTCTTTACCGCACACGGAGACAATCATAGGTCACTTGGGCCAGATTTGATTTCATTACCTAATATTTAACCTCCAGTAATTTGATTTTTTTTTTAATGCTTAATTTGTGTCTGTCAATGCTGACAAATAATGATTTAATTACCGGGGATCCCAAAAGACATCACATATTGTTAAAGGCCCCGCACATCCACACAAGTGTTTTTAACTCTTGTTGCTAATCAGACCTACAGAATTACAAGAGTTCACCATGGCTATGTCTGAAAATGACTCCCTACGGTATCTAGTGCACTATATTTACTCATGATAATAAGAAAAATAAAGGTGACCCAACCAACCAAACAGGTGGAACAACGCAAACAGTAAAGTGAGGGATGTGCCAATTGATCCCAGTCTGTACACACACACGCACAGAAGAAGTTCTAATGAGCCAGAATGAGTGAAATGGCCTGCGTGTGCTATAGATCTGCTGACCCTTTGACATTAACATATTTCACTTTATGCTTCATTCCATCCCATTCCATTACCTATCAATCCAACCTTCCCAATGACTTCACTGCCTTTCTTCTATTACTTGCCTGTCAAATTTGGGTTCTTCCTGTAGTTGACATTAGGCCCATCCCACTCAGGTGAGAAGGACCAGTCAGGTGAGAAGGACCACCAAGGTGAGGAGGGCCACCAAGGTGAGAAGAACCACCAAGGTGAGGAGGACCACTCAGGTGAGGAGCGCCACCAAGGTGAGAAGGATCACCAAGTTGAGAAGGATCACCAAGTCGAGAAGGACCCCTCAGGTGAGAAGGACCACCAAGGTAAGAAGGGCCACCAAGAAGAGAAGAACCACCAAGGTGAGAAGGACCACCAAGGTGATGTCACCAACAATGACATCATCAAAGAGACACCCCACCCTAACCAGGTTCCCTCTGACCTCAGCGTGAGCTCTGACCCCGGGCCCACCTACACCTGGACAAAGAGTGGGCGCAGTGAGTGCAGCTTGACCTGTGGTGCAGGTGAGGAAACCCATGTAATTCAAAGACGAGGTGACCGCACATTGAATTAATGCTTTCCAAATTTTTATGCAGCGTTTTTTTTATTTGTGCTAAATAATTATTCGGGGGCATTTACTGTGCAGGCAGGCTTAAATTAAAGGGGACGTATCATGCTCATTTTCAGATTAATACTTTTGGGGTTACATTTTGGGTTTCTATTAGAACATATTTACATGCTTTAAGGTTTAAAAAAAACTCATTTTTTTAACGTATTGTCTGTCTGAATATACCTGTATTCAACCTCTCTCTGAAACACTTCGTTTTAGCTCCTGTCTCTTTAAGCCCTCCTCCCGCTCAGTGGGTTCTGATTGGCTCGGGTTTTAAACTTAAATGAAACAGTATGTCACACACCCAAAGGACTGAAATTGCTGGCAAAATACACGTGCCTCAACATATGTTTGCTGGTGGATGGACTTCTATCAAATATGTGTATATATACAGCCATATTTCTGCAGACAAACGCACATTCACTTGTTTAGTCTTCTCTGTGTGTGTGTGTGTGTGTGTGTGTGTGTGTGTGTGTGTGTGTGGGTCCGCACACTTGCCAGGCAGGCGTCAGTTACTCTGGAGGTGTGTGGAGAAAGACTCTGAGATGACTGTTCCTGCTGACCTCTGTGACCCCGCCCTTGAGCCAACGAACCAGGAAGAAGATTGCAACACCCAGGCCTGTCCTGCATAGTGAGCAACACACACACACACACACCTGATGCATACAACGGTGATGAACCATGAGAATGAGACGCACGCACGCGTACGGCGTTGCATTAGTTCCACATGGTGCTGTTTCTCTCATGGTGAAGCCTTCATCACTCGCACACATTCAAGCCGTAAGTCAGTCGCCACCGTCAAAGTCAATCGCGCTGACTTACTTTGGTGTGGCTTCTCGTGCTGAATACCGCGGGATCTCACCAAGATGCAGCGGGGTGTTAGCGGAGTAACTGTACGTTTGCTTGTGGGTCTGTCAGATGTTTCGCCCGCGGCATCAGAGATCCCTGATGGCTGTCGGTCTGAAATAGATATGTTTCTATTGGGAACGCAGCAGAAGTAATAGAATGCAGAGAAACATCTGAACTTGTGCAGCACAAATTGGCTTATTTTGCTTGTCCCTGTTTACGATCTCTTGTTGGAGGCTTTCTAATGCCCCTTGTAGACCAGGGTCAACAGATCACACACAATAACTGTGGTCAAAATGAGGACATAGTGCTTGGTCAAACTCTGCTTGAGGAATGTCTTCACCAAACTCACGTCTCATTGTGCAACCACATCTTCCATGACCGACTGCGAGCTGCTCTTTATTTCCTCTCAACTCTCCCTTCCTTGCTCCGTGATTGTCCGACAGCTGGGACGTGGGGGAGTGGTCGGAGTGCAGCAGGAGGTGCGGACCCGGCACTCAGCACCGCCAGGTCATCTGCCGCCAGGTCATCTGCCGCCAGGTCACCCGCGTTTGCACCAACAGGACGGAGACCTCAGTCGCCGTGGCTGAAGAGCTGTGCAGGTCCCCTGACGGGCCGGTGACCACGTCCACGTGTCAGCTGAAGATCTGCAGCCAGTGGGAGACGCGATCTGAGTGGAGCCCGGTGAGATCACACCCATACGCCTCAGTACTACTAGAACATGACTCTGCGCATAAACAAGTCTTTCAGAACATGTACATTTTCATAAAAAAAAACAACCATTTACCTCTCTCCCACCGTCTGTCCCCCCAGTGTTCAGTGCCATGTGGGGTGGGCCAGCGCAGCAGGGAGGTGGTGTGCGTGAGCAACCAGGGTGACGTGGAGCAAGATGAGGAGTGCAACATGAACCTCAAACCAGACGCACTGCAGAACTGTGACATGGGAGCCTGTGCACGCAGCTGGTTCACTTCCCTCTGGAGCCAAGGGGTAACACAGAAACTGTTTGTTTGTGTGTGTGTGTGTGTGTGTGTGTGTGTGTGTGTGTGTGTGTGTGT